AGCAGTGTTTTGAAGAAAAATCAGCTTCAAGCGCGAGTAGGAGGTGGAAGACGAGGTCGATGGTTAAAAATGTCATAATGTGGAGGAATGTGATTCTTTCTACTGGAAAGTGGCCTAGTTTTTTTTTTTTTTTTTTAATCCCCAAACTTCCTGTGTTCTGAAAGAAGGCATGTAGAAAGTGGAGCATATTCAAACTAGTCTTGTTCGAAGTATTATCTTATGTCGAACACTTCACCGTGAAGGCTTACACCATGAAAGATCAACACATATCCACAAGGGTAGATCTCAGTCTGTGGCATGTGAAGGCCCTCTAGTGGTCTAGCAGGTCCTGACTTCTATTTTCAGATATTGCACTGAAGGGCTTTCTGAAGTTTTCAGCTTCTGACCCCGAAAATGAAAAACTGAACCCAACTCTTGGTTGAGCATGCAAGCCTTTTAAATGCTGCTGTTCATCAGACACATTTTATAACAGTGCAGAGCAAGCCAGTAAGAATAAAAGAAAAACAAAAAAACTGTTTCCAAATGGTGGTTTCATTTATCAAGGCAGGGAGGGGAGCAATTCAAACCAGTCACTGTGAAAAAGTAATTACTCCCTGAAACTAATAGGTGCTGGTGCAGCGAAAACAACTGCCGTCATGTGTGTAACTTACTGGCAATATTTTGATAGATTATGGAAATTTTGATCCACTTTACCGTGCATATTATTATTATTATTACACATTGGAGGGTTTTAAACCAGGAACAGCTTGTTTACGGTTATATCACAGCATCCCAAGTGTTTCAACTGCACTTTGGCTTGGCTATTTCAAAATCTTCATTCAATTCAGTTTTATTTACATAGCGCCAATTCACTAAATATAATCTCGAGGAACTTAGCAAAAAAGAATATTTCAATCAAATCAGACATACATTCTAATTGAATAGTTATTCAAATTAGTTTAAAAAGGCTTCTGAATCCAGCAGGTTGCATTAAGTCATTGACTGGCAGCATTCCAAACACCTGGATGAGCATGACAGTAAAACGATAGAATGGTATCATCTACTTTATAGCAATCTTTCATACTGATAATTCATTTTTGTTGTCTACTACACGCTCTCAACACACTGGTTAAGGATGAGTTTTTATCTGCCTAGATAAAAACTTTTTAAACTACTGTAATCTGAATAATTGCCTGAGCTTAATATATTGTTTACTGGACCTAACCGTCCTTTTCTTGTGGGTGTTAACTGTAGTGTTCGTGTAACACCACGAGGTGTCAGCATTTCCACACAGTTCAGCTTATCGCTGACGTAAGGGTGAGCTGAGGACATCAAGTAAAGCAGCTCCTGAGTAAACTTCCTCCGGGACATGAAGAGTGACTCAGTGGTCCACATAAGCCTCCAGCCTGTTTCCTTGTTTTCTGCGTTTGCTGATCCATATAAGGGAACAGCTGAATGAGATCATAAATGCCAACTTTAGTTTTCACAAAGATTTTATTGATATTTTCATTTGCCCTGAGGGAGAAAGCACTTTGAGCAAGACCACAGAATTACAACAAAATGAGCCTTAAGAATCAAAACGTTCAGTCATTGTGCAGTTTTTGATACAGAACGTCCTTGTGCGTCATTAGTTCATTATTCTTTCAATTAAGCCTTTTTCTTAGGAATAAATTGCCACAATACGGTACGAGGGCAGTATGTCTTAACAGATACAACAAGAATCAAGTATTTACATCAGAATTTGCTGGGAAAATTTCAGCGCTTTTGCATTTTTCCACAAATCCTGATTAATCTAATCAGTTCATTTGAGTACAGGCATGCCCTAATGACATAAAGGGCTGAATCACTTTTTATTATCTGCTTTTAAACTGAGAAAAGACAAGAATTGAAATCTTTTAACAACAAGAGACTGTGGTCAAAAGACTCTGGCTGGCATTAGTTAGCCTCCAGTAACAATGTAAAAAAAAAAAAAAAAGTTACATATATAGTCGGGGTTAAATCTAACTAAGAGATGTCCTTTAAATTTCACATTAAAATAGCTTTCTAGGACATTGTTCTTTCACCTTGTGACACAGAAAATGTGGCACAGAAAAACTAAAGCCTTTGTCTGATCTAAAATGCTACATTGAAAGTTCTGAAGAAAATGATGAGAACCATATATTTCTCACGTTAGCTTTTCTTCATTATCTACCTGGAAGAGAACTTATAACTCTTCTTTTAACAATTAAAGCCCCTAACAGAACTAACAGAAATAGGAAAAAGACCACATTTGGCACAGGGCAGGAAAGATTGCAAAAAAAAAAAAAAAAAAAAAAAGAGAAATTTTTTTTTTTTTTTTAAAAAAGCCTCAAAGTTTTTAAATTAGCAATTACTTTAAATTTTAAATGAGAAATTCATATTTTCATGAAGAGCAAGATACATTTAATCTGCCATGTTGACATATGTTATTTTATTTTTTTCATTCTGTTTATAAGCTGATGAAATAACTCAGATTTAGTTCAGTCCACAGTGAGACTGTTGTTCAAATGGAGGATTAGTAGGTTAATCTCTGGCTCAGGCTTGTCTCACCAACAATTTCACTTTGAAAATATAACTCTCAAATGTGTTTTTCTGTTGCATTGTCAGGCATTTAATTCTTTGTGTCAGTACGTCTGAAATGACTCCAGCGCCCATGAGCTTTTTCTCAAAATATATATTTGTTTATTGATGCCTTGCATACAACTGCCAACCAGACACAGGTCAGAACAAATGTTATTAGGGAAACAGGTCTGAGACATCCAGCAATTCCACAAAAAGACCACAAACTGCAGGGCATCCTAAGGAAGATTCAGAGATTTGCATCATCTCTCTCGTGTAGACTCGTGCAAAAATATCTACTGTTTTTCTATACTTTAACCACTAAAATAACTCAGAAGAATTTTTAAATATGAGTTACAACAACATTTAATTGTTACGACATTCAGTTGTTGACTTCAGAAATGCAAGAGTATTTTTGAATTTGAATGGAATTTGAAAACATATTTTTAGACACAGCACCAAGACTACTGTTTTCTTGTTCTCACGGTTCCATTTCATAACGCCGTCATGCTATTACCTCTGTGAGACTTTTCATTTGCCTTTTTTTTTCTACAACTAACCAAATGATTCAGAACTTGATCTCTTTAATGACTTTATTAGCTAATGTTGACAATGCAGGAAAGAGTGTAAAAACATGTTTTTGACTTGTCAGAAAGTCCGCAAGTGTTTCAATTTCTGCGACATATGGAGCAAAAGTTTACAAGTCTTAAAACTGGACATGTTTAGCTGAGTATGAGGACAATTTCTAAATGATCCCTTACGATTGCTGCTCACACATACTTCTCAGCAGGGAGTATCCTGCAGGAGGTATGTTTTTAGAGTACGAAATATGAGGAAAAGGAGATTTTGTTGCCTGAGCTTGAGAGTCCTGGGGAAAGGCAAGAACAAGCTATGGGATTTTCTGTGTTTTCTTTACATTGCATCAAAATTGCGATAGAGATATTTCATGACATTTGTTGTGTTTTATCAGAGTGTTTCTAACTGTCCACAAATGCAAGGAAGCCAATGAAAAAAATTACAGAAAGTACCCAGACAGGGTGGTTAATCAGAAGGAATTCATCAGAAAATCTCAGCAAGAACCAGAGCAAATTGCTGTAACTAGTCCCTAAACATAACTTAATAGCAATAGAACTTGTTCAGTGACAGGAGAAGTAACTCTTATTCCTTCAGATATGGGAAGTCAATTTAGGACATGTGGGCCAGAGCGACCTGATTTTTAGAGAAATTGTTCTGTACTGTGTTGAACTTCACACAGAGGAATGCCTTAAACCAGAGGTTCCCAAACTGTGGGGCGCGCCCCCTACGGGGGGCGCCGTGTCATTGCAGGGGGGACGCGGGAAGCCCTCTGGATGAAAAACAAAACAAAACATGAACACTGTATGCGCTGGGTTTTTACCTTAGAATGGCCAACTCTCTGTTATTCCTATGTCAATTTGATACAGTAGAGGCTTCCACACTAACCATATTTGTGTCCTCTGTCACTTTTATCAGCAGTTAAAACTGTTTAAGACGTTGTGAACATGGTGTAACCTGTTTTTCCGAGCCGCCTTTAAACGCAACATGAGCGCTGCGTCGCTCGCGCTGGGTTTACACCTGTGAAGGAGACCTGCTGCTGCTGTGCGGAGCTACGTAGGTTTGTGTTAGAATCACGGCAGCAAACCAGCAAAACGCAAAGAACTTTTCACAGTTTTTCCCTCCAAACTAACCGACTGAGTTGAGGTAATGTTGCAGGTAATGTTAGCTAAAAGATGACTAGCTAATATCAATACAGAACCTTAAGCTTAACAAGTACCTTGAGGGCTACCGATGTTGGTGTCTATTTTCAGCTACGTACATTCATTTTGCCCCCAAAAAAGTCGATGCCCCCCGTCACACGCATCGTTTTAACCAGACAGCCATTTGTAATCCTTAGGGGGGGGCACAGAAAATGTTTGGGAACCACTGGGGGGGGCTTTAGGCTTTAGGAAGGGAAACACACTTGTGGTTGAAAAGTCCGATCTTAGCAGAGTCTTCTGACCAAAGGACATTGTTGCAGTTAAAATCTAAGTAGAGTTCAGCAAACTCTACTAATTTAGACTTTTAGTGATAGTGAGACAAAAAAATGTTTTTTCCAGGTATGCTCCTCTAACAGCTGATTGGTATGTTGATAGTCTTTCATGGTTGTTATGGAGACCTCATGCTGTCACTCTTTTCTAACAGCAACAATAGGATATTTTTATTTCCTCCCTTTCCATATTTCCTTTTGTGTGTGGTCCTTGTCCAAACTAGCCAGTTGGTCACAGAATTGGGCCTCTATGACATGACATATGTACCTTCAAAAAGTAAAGTAATAACTGTAAAGGGCAGCTGAGTAAAAGTACCTTTGTTTATTATAAACTGTTGAGGTTATGTGCTTTTATTTTGGTAACTTCCTTGTGAGTGTTGCTATGGTGACGGAATGCAATTCTACATGAAACGGTTAACCGACATACACAGAAAAGGATAGCAATACAGTACAAAGAATAAAAAGCAGCTCAATTTTAGTTTCAGTCGACAAGAAAAAAAGGTTAGTAACCAAGATTGAAGTATGTTTGAGTAACTTGAAATGTTTATGGAAAAATGTGTGGTCGGTTGTATTAATGAAATGGAATGTACTAATGTAACTGGCATGCAAAACAACAGAAGGTGAAAAACGATTGGAATTATTATTTGTTCTCGTCTAGCTCCATTGGTTGAAGATACTCATATCTTTATTAAGTTATCACTTAACCATCAGTTCTGAAGTTCTCAATATTGACTAGATTCTACAATAATAATAAAAAAAACATTTGCTACATTTATTTTAAGGTTGCCAGAGTACCAACAACTGTGGCACAGGTTATTTTGTTAAAGGGATAGTAAAGAAACATCAACTTTTTTGAGCTTCAGATCATGCTATAATGTTTCATTCTCTCATCAAAAACATGCATGGACTTTTGATTTGGTTTTGTCAAGCATCTTTCAGAAATTCTTTACTTTCTTGTGGCAGCCATCTTGAAGGACGAAGCTATCATGATTCGGCTGTGTAGAAAAAAAGAAGCGCGATGGAAGTCCCAGCAAATAGTAAGTGATTTTCTTTAATGCCTTCAAACCTGTGAGGAAAGTCCAGTCAGACACAAGGGTTCAAACAAGTGGAACAGGTAGGTGACCATAAGACACAAAGCTGACTAATAAATGATGAAGATACAGCGGGAAATAAAGCACACAGGTGAGGTTAAATACACAGGGGATAATGAGAGAACATGAGACCAATAAAAACCAATAAAAGGGGAAACAACATGACAGAAGAGGACCAAGATAACTGAGGTACATAACCTACCATAATCCTTGCAGAAGCTCCTCCTTGGTGTTGCAACTTTTGAACGTCCGAGTTTCCAGATTACAGAGAACCCCTTTCCCAGGTATCTCCCACTCAGCCTTCAGTTGAGCCAGTAGCAATTTTCAAACACCTGGTGGAACTGCACATCTGTGCTGAGCTCATTATCAAAGCTACTTCTCAGAACATTGCTGGTAAAAACAATATTAAAAGGTTAAAAAGAGGAGCAATGTGGTGATAACTTCCTGAAAGTGCAGTGTTGGAAAGAGCCGGACTTTGTTAAAGAGACAGAGGCCCAATTTCAAGGTGTTAAATTACAAAGTCAAATTTCTTCGAAGTGTCATATCTGACAGATATCATATCTGATATTTAGAGCATTTTTATAACAACTGAAGTAACATAGTTACTTTATTGTGCTATAAAATGATACTATGTGGGTGGAAAACACACATTACTGCTTCTTTAAGCCCTATTATATGTAGCAAAAGTTTTTTTTGATTAGGATGTTACATTTTTTATTTTTATGTGACCAATGACCATTAAGATAAAATAAAGTAAAGGCTTTTTACACATTATTACCGGAGGTGCCAAACAAATTGCCCATGTTTGTAGATTAAAAGGGTGAGTCAATGTAAGCTTTTGTGCCAAATGCAGCAACAGAGAACTGTTACAAATCCTCTTGCATATTTTTTCCTCAAACTCTCTAGTACCACCTCAGACATTCTAAAATCTGCTTACTCAAATCAGAAGGTCCAGTCTAAAAACATAATCCACAGAAATAGCATAGCGCCTTGTGGCACTGAGAGGGACCATTTATGTAACTACCAAAGACATATATCATTATAAAAACTGTGAAGGACCGTATAGTTTACAAGTAAGGCATCAGAATAAAGAATATCTACAGACTCAACATAATGATAAAGATTTTGATCCTAATCTTAAAAGGCTTAGTTTTAACATCGATGCTCCAGGGAATCTTGTCCAATGACTTTTTTTTTTCTTTCAGTCTAATAAAACTTCCTGAACTGACTTAGAATAACGAAGTTCTGATATAGGAGTTCCTGTGGTAAACCACTGTGGTCTAATAATGTCCCTACTGTTAGTGGAAATGTTCCTCTTACCCTGAAGCCAATGTTGCTGTATTACAACAGTGTGCCGCAGTGTACTGAGAGGGGGACTGAACTTACGACCTCACTGGGAGAATGGCATGTTAAAAAGCTCAAATCCCTGTTGCGTGGTTTCCTGTTGCTCTGTGGGAGAATAGTACTTGGGTCAAAGTCTATTTCCTTACACAAGAAACATAAAACAATAACAACAACAATTGGTAATGTTAATAATAAGGTGACGAAAGTGGAAATGAAAATGAGGGTTCCTGTTAAATAAGGATTATTAGTTAAAATATACAACCTTGTAAATAAATTATGTCATTGTACTTTAACCGTAAAGAGGAGGGGACGTCGAACTGTTAAATGATTTCGGCCAATAGAGAGCAAGCGCGTGAATATGAAATGATCAGGATTTTGTGCTCCATTTGTGTGCAGCTAGGAATTTTGAGTGCTCTACTTCAAGAACGTAGTACTTCGCTCGACCTGACGCAAAACAGCTCTGCTTGACCATGTTAAAATAATTAAAATAAATAACACATGATTAAATTTTATCGTTTCATTACATAATCAGAGAGTAATATTTATGTATTTATTGTTTGTTTACTTGTTCCTCGACGGGAGTGGTGACTCTACGAGTGCATTTCAAACGCAGCACAATGGGAGGATCCAAAAGGAGTATCAGTTTGACTGCTGCTGCTCGGCCAATCGCACTGATTAGCTTCTGGGATATTAGGACAACAGTCAAACAGAAAACACGGAGGAATTTGGTTAGCTGAAGGCACAATCTTTTGGGAGAGGTAAGGTTTAAATGTTCATTGTTGCTGCGTTATCTAGCCGAGGCATTGCGAGCGGTATATGCAGTCCTTAACATCAGTTTGTTGTATCGGGGAAAGTGTTTGGTTTAAGCGGCGCCGCTCCAGTGGACACGTTAATGAGTCGAAATACCAGCAGCAGCAGCTCGGCGAGTTGAAACCTGTTACTTGGTGCGAAGTTTTTTTTTTTTTTTTACACGGCTTCCGAGGTTTGCTCGGCAGATTTGGAAAAAATAAGGGGTAAAGGAGAGACGCCGTAAGCCGGGGACACACCTGTTTGTCCACGCAAAGGACACGGCGTATATAGGCATTCCTAGTTTATTTAGCTTTACACAGTTTCTACATGTCTTACCTCATTGCGTACTTTAATTAACTGGAGGGAGTTCCGCTGTGGACAAAAATGGACCCTCTTGTACTCCTTGGTGGGGGGAAAAATACACAGAACTTTATTTTCGGTTTCTTATTGAAAACCTGCTTGACAAGTCGACAGAGACTGGGAACTATGCGTTTTCCCTATAATAATTGACATAATTCCTGGAGAGCAGAATAATCGAAACTACCTTCAAAATGGTCGACTTTCTTTCTTATTTGGCTATGGGGTCAAAGTCTGTCCTGTTCGTCTGTTGTAAGTGATAAAACATTAGTTCTGTCCCGAGGAAATTTCTTTCTCCGAGCCACCACACCCTTGTTATGCTGCTCAGCTCCAGTAGCGCAGACCCTCATCTCTCACAGCAGCTTGTTCCCTTGTCTTGGCATGTTCTCCATAACAAAACTGCACTCCTGGTGTTTGTCGTGAACCAAAGTCAAACCTGCAGAATTGCTGATGTGCTTCGGCTGGGTTACTCCCATGTTTGTTCCCGGGCTGATCCACATGAATGCGCCGGATGTTATCCTGCCTAATGCTATTGGCTTGATTGTGATTAGATGTTTGTATGATATGTCCGTGAAAGTATGCCTTTACATTTTAACCAGCAGAACTTGGACAGGGGGATTTACCCAGTGGTATGCGGACATGGAGAACAAAATCAGAGCTCCTCCAGTGAAGGATGTCATTTCCAATTTAGAGAATTAAATGCTCCTGACTATGGGGGTAATTGGTAGGAGCTGTTATGTGATTTCTACGGATTTAACTTTTTTTAATACCACAATTTAGCATGCAAGGGGTTTTAATTTAATACAAGATGGCAAAAATGGCTAAAATTGATGATTACAGTGATTGTGTTATATTGATTCAATTTCTTTGAGGTCAGACTTACTGATTTAGATTTTGACTTTCTAAATGTTTTGAGGGGGAGTTAGGGTTTCTATAATATCTTTGATAAAGATACTTTTGGAGGTAGCTATGTGTGAAAACAATTACAGAATTGCAAGATAATCTCTATGATTTTAAATGTATGTTGCTTTCACTTTTTGCAATGTATGCAATTTCTAAAATATTTCAGGTTTATTTGTATATTTTTTGGGGGGTGAGGTGTTTTAGCAATAGAAGCAGAATATACCTCACTCTTGTTTTGTTTAGCAAAGTTTAAAATAGGGGTTTGTGTAAAAGGTGTGTTTTTCAGTAATGGTCACTCGGTGTCCAATGGTAAATAGCTTTATCATGATCAATGATAATTTTGATATTTATAAAAACAAATATCAAAATTTTACATTGTTTGGAAAAAAATATCATGCACACGGGATCAGTTTAAGAAAAGTGTTCATCCACGCATACATCCTTCAAAACAATCATGACTTCCTGTTAGGAATGAAACATGGCACCAGGAAGTTAATTTGTCTGGACAGACAGAGATGCTTAACTTTTAAATGCGAAAATGTAAAATAAACAAAACGCAAGACGATGTTGACTGGGAATTGTGTTCAAGCAAGTATGTGAACAATGATCGGCATTGTGCATCCATATTTATGAGGCCTAGCTGGTGTAAAACAAATGACCTCCAAACACTCTTTCTCCCTGTGTTGTATGTGTTGGAGCAGTCGGGCTTGTAAAAATAAACGAGCAGAAAGTGTCTGAACCAAAGTAAAAATCAGCACCTCTCTGACAACAGCCATTTTTTTCCCCCTCCACTGCATGCACTAATGTAGACATGCAAGTGCAAATAAAGAGAAATCTTAAATGCCACTTTGGTTGGAATTTAATCATTTTTAGTGACATTAAACAGTCTATGAGTTGATGAAAGGTCAAATCGCATTCAAATCTATTTGGTTTCCTACATAACCGGCTATGTTTGGACTTGGCCTCAGTCATTCACTCACACATTAACACGCTGATGGTGGCCAGCTACTGGATAGTAGCTACAGCTGCCCTAGGGCAGCCTGACGGAGGATAATGGTCCAGATTATTAAATTAAAAGGAAACGCATAGCTATTAAAAGACTAAATACTTTTTCCCTTGTCTTAACATTTTTTATGTTAGGAAATTTGTATCTTTTTTTTCTACAGAAGAGGATTAGGGCCACTGGGAAAAAAAAACAACAAAAAAACAGTTCTGACTTTAATCTCAGAATTCTGAGGGGAAAAAAAGTCAGAATTCTGAGATTAAAGTCAGAATTCTGAGATTAAAGTTAGATTTTTTTTTTTTTTTCCCAGTGGCCCTAATCCTTTTCCGTATTTTTCTCCCCTTTGGCTTCAGTCTAACCGAATTTATGCCTTTCTTGAGTTCAAGGGTTGTAAATGGCTGCACTTTGGACACCTCTGTTCCAGTGGGTCAATTGATTTTTCTTTTATTTTTTATTTTTTTCCACACACAAGTGAAATGTGGACTTATCTTTTCTATTGATGGTCTTTGAACACTTATCTGTTAATCAACTGACATGAAATAATTCTGCCTTTCATAAATAGTTAAAATTGAGTTTAAGGTTTGTCTAATCAGTGGTTAAAATTCATTTCAAGCTCTTGCTGTTAACTCTAAATGCTTTCTGCATTATTGAGGTCAGGCATATGACCTCCTTCTTTATAAAGGACTATTGTGGATCAGGATATGCATCTGTGATATTTTAGTAGTTTGACTTTGGCATGTCATTTCTCTGAAGTTATATGTACCTTGCCTATCCGTGTCTTTTTTTTTTTTAATTATTATTGTTATAAAGAGCTTAGGAAATATACTACAAGCTCTCAATTCTTGGCAACATGCAGACTTTTACTAAGTCATGCACTGACAGAAGAGTGATTGTTCACTCAGATTTTTCCGCCATCCTTTATTGCTCAGTCGTAGTCTGTGGAGGGCTGCAAGTCTGCACATTGTTAACTTATCGATGTTTATCAGACAAGGTGTTCAAAAGCAATACACCACCATATCCTGTCCCAGGTTTGCGTAGGCAGCTTTTCATCAGACCAGATTTCCTGGGAGGCCTGTGTTCTTTTAAGGAGCTGATGCAGCTGAAGCGTATTTTACAGTAAGAAAAAAGAAAAAAATATGGAGTGCCTGAAAAATATCAGCTCTACTTTTTAAGAAATGCAATTCTTGAAACGTTTCTTTAAGGGCGGCTCTAAATAGACTGGAATTAGGACGCCATGAATAAGCTGAGGCTGCTCACAGATGTCCGCTTTCATTTGTGCTTTCATTTGTGCTGCATGTAGTTTTATTTTTTTGCATAATGAAGGCTGGAATTAGCTAAGAATTCATAATATTTGCCCCCAGATGGTGACGTCATGGGGCAAACGGAATAGAGAACAGGGTGCTGTACTCGCGGGTGTTTTAACTTCTCTAAGTCTGTATAGTCATATCTTTTTAGTTAATGGCAAACTGTGCATAATTTATTCCTCCTCTGTTTCATGTCATAATGTTTCCTTCTCCCACATGCATATTTAACCCCTTGTTTAGATATACTCGAGAAATATTAGAGGCATGCATATTGCATTTTTGTTGCCCTTGATCTGCTGGTGCTGCAGTGCTCGATGCTTTACTTCTGACTGCCTCTCATCTGCTTCATTCCCCTACAATTTGGGACTTTTTCAGTTTGTTTGAACTGAAACCAGAACTTTGAGTGGCAGCTGAACAGATAATTCTGTGTGATAGTTTAGTTTTTTTTTTTTTTTTCTGTATACTTTCAGCTGAGCTGTACTCTGATGAATTGGACAGCAGGAGTCTCAGTAGTTCTGTCCTATTTTGAGCTCCAACTTGGTTCTTTGACTTCAACCTCCACAGCCTCGATCTTGAATGGGTGTAGATGGTCTAGAATTAGATTCAACCTTCAAAATGTGTGTTTGACTTCTCTTGTGTTGCCCAAGTTATAGTAAAAGTATGTTTTGTTGTTGTTAATGGGGAGGAAAATATATTATGTTTTGAATTGGCAAACCTCTAGAGCTGTGTTCCTTTAGATTTTATTTGAACAATAAGCAGCTCTATGGTGCTCATTTATCTTTTGCAAGCCAAGCAGGTTTGCTCCTTAAATTACTCTACAGTGAGCCTGGATTGCCCTAATTGAGCAGTTTCAGAGGAAAGTTACACAAAGCCTTTGTGTTAAGTAATTTCTGTTTGTTTAAAATGTCCAATAGGATTTAGGAAAATTGTATTTCAAGTGGATTGTAATTTTGGAAAACAATTAAGTGCAGTAAACACCCAGTATTGCACAGTGGGGATCACATCTGCCTGTGTAAATAACTAAAACACAAATACCTGAGATCCCCTTTAAAAATTGCTCGTAACTACAGATACACTGATGGCAGTTTTGAGGCCAATGTTGAAAATATTGAGCAATACCCATGAAACAATATAAGCTTGTGTCATCTGCATGCAGCAGGTCAGAGCATTGCTGTCCAAACTGCCAAGTTGGATAAACTTAAAGCCAGTCAGCGGCAAAAACTTACTCCCACTCTTTTTTCTTTTTTTCTTTTTTTTTTTTTGAGTCAATGCGATTACTTTTTTTTTTGCACCTTCTCAAACTAACTACTCAAGGAATTTTATAAATTATTAAGCATTCTTTTATAAATAACTTGTATGTTAATGAGTTATTTATTTTTTAATTAATTTTTTGTGTAGTATAACTTGTCAACAGAATCACCTTTTACAGCTTGAGCACAATTTTGACCTAGAGGGATTTCAGGAGGATGGGTTCTGTTGACCATGAAATATTAAACTTAATTGACTGACTTTTTAGTGAAACTGCCTGAGACATATTTGTATTTTCCTCCATTTGATCAGATGCGTTTTGTCCAGTGTCTTTATTTACAGCCTCCTAATATTGTCAGATCAGATTGTTGACTCTTTAAATAGTTAAGATTTGTGTTTTGGACCATTTATATCTAGCCTGTACAGACTTTGCTTCTTGTTCTTAAATCCTGAACACATTTGCTCAGCCACTTTAACAATAGTCTGATAAGGCAGGTTTTCCGTATTCCATCAATTAAAAGCTCATCCAAAAAGCTTTAATGTATCCCAAGAAAGTTTCAATTCAATTTTAAAACTTATTTTTTTTTTTTACTATGAGCTAAAACAGTTGAAAAATGTGGTTTAAAAAACAGTGGAATGTCAAGATTACAACTTAATGGTCAGAGATTGGCAAGCTGAGAAAAGAAATGTAGGTTATATAAATGATTTTTCAGGGTTGGTTTTCACTGGGTTTAAGTTCCTGGCTGGCAGATTGATTTGGAGCTCATAAGGAGGAAGTATTTGTACAAAGCTCTGTAGCCACCCAGAGCTAGTTTCCGTGCTATTTTTGACCCTTGTTACCTCCAGTGAGCAAGCCTGGCTAATGTGTTACCACCTGTGGCAGTTCACAACCTGCCATTGTGGAGAAATGAGGAATCTATGCCACATGTACTGGGAATGATGACTTTGCCCCCTGCTCCCTTTCCATTTCAGGGAGAGTCATGCAAGGCGGGAGAACGTGTTTTTTCTAATAAGCATCTAGCTTTTGTATTTGGGAAGCAATTATACAGATGCTGTTAGTAATTATGATTCATTATTCAGAATGTCCTTAATGTTGATCTGATTTGTCGAGTTGTGGCCTGGTTCAAATAACTTAGAAGTGGTTTTCACCTCCATGGCTATATGGTGATCTACAGTTAAAATATTTATGCATGTTAACATTTTTCCATATAAACTGAAACTTTGATTTTTGAATAGTATTCCTTTTTCCTTGGCCTCTACAAGCTGATTTGAGTTCATTGTAGTTTTCAGTGCTTAACATTTTTGTAAATGTCAACTAAGTTTTGATCTATTGTCATTTTCTAGATATAATGTTGGCACCGCTTTGGCTTATCTTCAACATTTCAGCCACCGAAAAAGGAATTCTCCTGAGATCGGCATTAAGGCCGTACTGCTCAAGTAGTGGGCCGGGCGTGGGAGACTGAAGGATTGTTTTTGGCATCAGTGTTTTTATTCATGCTTAAATATGAATTCAACACAAGCCTCCAGTCACTAGGTGGCAGCAGTTCTCAAAGGAGCAAACAGGCTGCCTGTTCAACCCAGTGGAAGAAGTAACTTACAGTCACACCAGTTTACAAACATGAAAGAGGAGAGAGGGAGAAGTTTTTGAGAGACAAGTGATGATGGTCAACAGAAGAAGACCAGGAAATGCTATGAAGCCTGTACAACCCTTTGCTTTACTGTGAATGCAAAATGTTATGCACTTCTGATCTCTTCTGGTGAGCTGAAATGCAATTTAAGGATAAATTTTGCGTTAAAAAAAAAATCTTACTTTTATATGTTATTTGCAAAGAATAATCAACCAATGTTTACAGTTTAAAATACACATCCCAGTGACTCAGTCACACCTTTTTGACATGCTCTTTTATGCGTTTTTTATGTTTGACTCTTGTCAGCACATAAGTGATGTGTTGCATGCTACATAATTTTAAGGATGTTTGAACATACCTAGTGACTGACACATACTGTGGAAAATAGTACTTTGGATCTGTGCTCTTCCTTGTCCCAGAACAGTGGAAACGCTTCAGATTTGCATTTATCCAAAGTAAAACGGCCACTACCCCTAATGTGTGCTTTGTCGTGCTGCTGTAACAGCAGGGAGCCTGGTGTGACAGCTGCTGACATCCGTAAACTACATTTGGTAGTGCATTACTCAGTGTGCGGGAGCAGCCTCATTTTCTTTATGAAGCTTCTGGTGTCGGCTGCCAGTCCAGTGGGTTTGTTTCTGAATGTGGAGCTTCCCTCTGGCAATGTCAGTATGATGTATGGAGCAGCAGCAGCCTGCTATCACAGAGAACAGGTGGCTCTCTCCAGAGTATCTGATGGTACACTGGCCTGATTTAATGTGTAGAAATAAAATGCTAACCAAGGTTGTTTCTCATGTTGTATTGAAAAGGAGCGCTGCGGTTCAGAACTTGGCAACGTTTGTTTGACACCGTCGTAAGGTTCTTCCACAGGATGCCCGAACAGCTTGGTTGATGAACAGACATTAAAATCAAACTTTAAAGAAAAAAAATTGTGGTGCACTTATTGGAGTTTTCGAGCCGATTGTCAATTTTTAAAAAGCTTGACCTGCTTATTTTGACCGATACAAATAGTTTTGTCTGAAATGTTATTAAATATAGCAAGAAACTTACAAATGGCAGACATGACCTGGTGGGTGGATCCATCTGCCAGCCCTCTCTCATGGCAGAGCAACAGAGAACAGTGGCTGATTTTTAAACCTTTGCAGAGGCAGATGAGGTCAGCCTCATTACGTATCGACCAATCATCAATCTCGCAAAATTAAGGACATTGGGACCAATTTATTGGTGCAGCCCTAATAAAAAAATCAACTTAAAGTTCATATATTAACTTGAGCATTTTTTTTTTTTTTTGTCATTTTAGCTCTTACCTTAAATGAAGCCATTTTTTGTCTAATCTGGCATTCAAGATGAGGCTCCAACTTTTCCTGATTTGAACTAGCATCTCACTTAACACTTGTTAGAAACAACATGGCTTCTTGAGGAACTAAGACGGAGCAGACTTTTTTTTTTAAATGGGACTAGGGGCCATAATTCACAGTAATGTGATGTTTGCATTGAGGACTAATGGTGTGTATACAGGGCTTTTTTTTTTGTTTGTTTTGTTTTTCTCTCCATCTTTGTAGGTTTAACTATACTAGTTGCTCTAAATTAGCTGTTAAAATTAAATAAATAGTAGCTATTGGTTATAATCCCCTGAAGGGGATTTCTTTTAACTAAGCATCCCGATGCCAACAAGCTCTTACAAGCGTACAAAAGTTACTTTAACATCTTTGTGCTGATGAGAACCAGCAGTGATGCTTTGAATGTTCTGGTTCTCTCTTATTTATCAGTTATGATTTTATAAACGACTGCATGCGTGAATCGGAGTTGGAGATTTGTAGCAGATAATGAATCTGTTAAACAGCCAGAGCACTGCCTCATTTTGCCATTTCTCCATTATCAGCATGTGGGACATGAGAATTGATCCGTGGTGACATCACAATTTCTCTGGCAAGCGACACTGATGTTGCATTCACACATCTCTCTCAGACAGTAGAGAAATGCGTAGGGGAAACGAATGTGATCGATAATGCTGTGTCAGAGAAAATCCGAGGGGGCTGTTAATCCCTCCTGTACTGGTATGTAAAGATGGAGCAGCATGTGGCGCTTCCAGGCCCATAGACTGCACACTACCCAGGAACAGGAAGAGGTGCAGCTCTTAAACAGACAAGGGTCGTCTCTCCCCCCCACCCCCCTGTTTTTCCTGTCTCTTCTCGCCATTTATGGTTGCATTGCTTCTCGTTCGTCACTTGTTTGAAACCACTATCTCTGTATGGTTTACACTCCGTCAAACCTGAACCTAAAGATAAATCTTTGTTGCTTCTAGATGGCTGCAATCAGGAAGAAGCTGGTGATAGTTGGAGACGGTGCGTGTGGGAAGACCTGCCTCCTCATCGTCTTCAGCAAGGATCAGTTCCCAGAGGTCTACGTCCCCACCGTATTTGAGAACTACATCGCTGACATTGAAGTTGATAGCAAACAGGTATTTTGTATTTTAAATCTCGGACATTTAAATTTATGTGCAGCTTAATTGTATTCTTTTTATATTCCTCTTCGAGGTTTTAACGGCGGCTCTTGATGAGTTTAAACTGAAAAATAATTTGATCGATCCTGTTACCCTGCAAAAAATAGTCACCACCAGACAAGCTACATACACAAGCAATGACATCATTCTTTTTTTTTTTTTTTTTTTTTTTTTGACTTCACATAGAGCACTGTTGGGTTTTAGTGGAAGAAACTGATTTCAGTTTTCCTTTGACCTGTGATTAGAAGTGATGTTGAGAGCAGGCAGTGTTATGCGACACTCCTGACCTTGTTGGATGTGAACCACGTGCGATTTTGATTAATGGCTGTAGGTGTGCATTGTTAGCAAAGCTCTTTGGGGCATTTCATTGTTTTCAAGGGACACATCTCTGGCCAACAAAAGGAATTGAATCTTTGCCACCTTCCTGTGTAGGGTTCAGTTCCCACCAAACACTCCCTCACCCTCCTTGTAGATCATGACTAATTTCCTTTTCCCGTTTCCTGTGCTGCAAAATCTGATGTCAGGGTCTTTTTCCATTGTTCTGTGATGTAAAATTGAATTTACACCACATATATTAAGGGGGAAAAAAAGTCACGTTTTATCAGTTTAAGAGCCTGATTACTCTCTTTTCTTTTAATAAAGTGGGGTGGGAAAAATTCCTCCCTGCATGCTCCAAATTTTGGGGATTTATACTTTTTTTCTTTTTTTAAGTGGGGTTGGAGGGCTTTTACTTATGAGCTTGACTGCAGGTCTTGTCTAATGCGCAGCTCTAGTTTGTTAGCTGCTCTTGTTTCCAGCAGTTTTACTTCCACTGTTTTTTGTTTTTTCCTCTCCTCTAACTGAGCTTGAAGGAAAAACATATACGAAAGCATGGAAAATTATTCAGTGGTGCTGCCTGTGAGATTAACTACATTTCTTGTCATGTTAATGCTTCAGTTGAAGACATTTAAAAACCATTCAGTTTAATCTTATTTATCATAGCTGTGACTAAATTCTCTTTTTGTTCATTTTGTCCTTTTTCTCCTCTTATCCTTCTCTGTTGCATCTCTTGCCATATTAATGGCTTTAGTGTAGCATACTCTAAAGGAATGCTAGGTTATTGCTTTTTTTTTTTTGTCTGGCTCAAATATAGGATTTATCAGCAGACCATTGCGTAAATTTTTTTAGGTTAATAAATATGGTTAATATGGAAAATTCTAATTCAGAAAAATTAATGTGGAAAAACTGGAAGTTGGGATGCAGGGGGAATGGAATTTGAAAATGTAATAACAGATTTCATAAGACCTTACTAATGTCCAGATGGTTGGTCTCTAAGGTACCATTAATCCTGTTTACACCCAGAATTTAGCTTCCGTTTTAGATGCTATTGAAGTGTAAGATCTGTTTAATAAGACCAGCAAAGTGCATTGCAAGAAACGCTGTGGGATGCGATGCAGCTGAGGCTTGGTTAATTTTGCTTGCACTGACAGTTCCAGGCTACCCTGTTCTAAAATTGGTAGTTCTACTGCTGAGGTTTTGAAAATGATTTTTGCAGGACATTTATTTTATCAAGAGCAGGTCAGGCTCTCTGGGACTGCCGCCACTTTGATTAACAGCCCAAGCCTGTGGGAACTTCCTCTACCACCGAGAAGTTGCTTTATAGAGCTAGTAGCAAAGGAATTTTACTTCTGCTCTCGTCAATACTGATTTTGTTTGTTGTGATCCTCTTTCGTAGTTCAGCTTCCAGTCAGCTGCAGATTTTTAGCAGCCTTCTTGTCCTGTCTCTCTGTCGCGCAGGTGGAATTGGCGCTGTGGGATACTGCCGGCCAGGAGGATTATGACCGGCTGCGGCCTCTCTCCTACCCTGACACCGACGTTATACTTATGTGCTTCTCCATAGACAGCCCTGACAGTTTAGGTAAGGCATATATTGACTGTCCACTGCACCAGTTGTTAAATATAGGGTTAATGGAAAAAACCTAATTTAATTTTCATCCTTTGAAAATAAAGTTTAGATAAATTAGTTAACAAAATTTTTTGCAGCAAACTAATTGATTTCCCACCTTCTATCCTGAAATACTTGAGCTGTACGCTTTGATTCATGAGAGAATGTAAGTACAGTTTTTGTGACGCGGATGGAGCCTCATTTGGTACCATCCTTCCAAAGAATGAGCGCATATAAGCCAGAGGGTCAGTGACTTCTTGATGATTGTTTGTACTGTCACAAGGGAAACTTCTCCCACTCTTTGGCAGGAAAAGAAATTGGCATGCACTTTGCTGGAACTCTAAATGCATGCATCACAACTTATTTTCTTTTTTTCAGAGAACATTCCTGAGAAATGGACCCCTGAAGTAAAGCACTTCTGTCCCAACGTCCCCATCATCCTTGTGGGCAACAAGAAGGACCTTAGAAACGATGAACATACACGCAGGGAGTTGACCAAGATGAAACAGGTGAAGTAATACGCCGACTACAACAGATGACAAGTATTCCAGCATTTACCATTTGCCACGTGTTAACGTTTTCACATTTAACCCTCCTTTTCCAGGAGCCCGTCAAGTCTGAGGAGGGCAAAGACATGGCACAACGCATCGGTGCCTTTGGCTACCTGGAGTGCTCAGCCAAGACTAAGGACGGCGTGCGGGAAGTGTTTGAGATGGCTACCAGAGCAGCGCTGCAGGTCCGCAAGCGCAAGAAGCGGGGCGGCTGCCAGTTACTGTGAGGAGTCTGTATCTGCTGGCTGATGAGCATTTGAGGGAGGACCCTCCCAGACACGCAGAACAAACTTCGACACCTTAAATCCGTGGCTTCCATAGACTGTACTTACTCCACAGATGCAGGCGTATATGAGAGACTGCCACACCTGTTTAAAAGCAAAACAAATCAGTTATTATTAAATGTTTTCTTTCCAACTTCCTGCTCCTATCCTGCTGTTTCCTGTAACCAGCACACCCGTCTGCTTTATGTGACGGATTCAACCCGTCTTTCTGTATGAATGTATGTTTGTATTTAAATGTGCATTATTCTTTAAAAATGCCATGCCTTCTGCTTGCGTGTCATGATTCTGTTTACAGAGAAGGGTCATGTGCTCTTCCTGCCCCGTCATTGTTTCTCCTTCAGCATTGAATGTTTTGTGTTTTTTCTCTTCCTTTTTTTCCCCCTTTAGATTTGCTTCCTTCTGCTTCTCCATGTACCACTTGGTTTCCTTTTATACACCAGACTCTGTTGCGTTTATCTGCATTGTACCACTATTTGTTTTGTACTCTAAAACTTGTATGCCACCAAGTGCTGCGTCTGCCAAGCTGTTTTTCACCATTTGCCGTTCTGCAAGAGACTAAATTTAGAACCTGTTCACACCTAATTAAGCCCAGCATACAGAAGTACACTGAAAGAGCAGACAGGATTTGGAAGGAGAGGCTTTGGACGGCACGCTGGTCCCTCCCAGTAATGGCGACAGCTTAAACTGGCACTGCAGACAGTGCTGTATTGTTGAGGACAATGCTAGCAGTTGCACTCCTCTGGCTCTGACAGACATGACCAATGCTTTCCCTCCACCAGGCCAGCCTCCTCTGATCTCAGTTCTGTTTCAGATCCAGGATACAGTTGCTTCATTACTGTGTAAAAGATTTTCTGAAGATGAATGCATTCTGTTTACAGCCATTTTTATATGCAATTTTGGTCTATTTAGAAGAGCAGTGCCATCTCTTGCTCAGCAGCAACACTTCTGTCGGCCAAGTTTTTTTTTTTTTTTTATTTCCTGTTATATGGACTAACATAAACAGGTTTTTCTCTCTAGATCAGATTTTTAATTCTTTGACGCATCATATATGCGCATGTCTATTCCTTAAACCGGTTTATTACGCTACAGTTTGTGTTTTTTTTCTATCAGTCCACCTTAAAATCCATGAACCCCTTTCTGTTTCTTTTATTGTCATCATTGCAAACTGATAGTCGCCTGTTTTATACATTTAGATTCAGAGATTTGAAAGTAGACGGCCTAGAAATAATTCCTGCACATTTGGGCCGGGTGTTAAATGTCTAATGCATAGCTTCAGAGAAAATGTTGATTGTACAAAACGCTTTGCAAACAGGAGAGGATTGTTTTTGTCTGGATGAGATGAACGTGTTAATAAAATATTTTTGAAACTCGTTACCTTGACTAATTTTTCATCTCGGTTGCGCTGTCGAGGTAATGAATCTTACTCAGAATATGTGGGAAAGTTTAAGTGCATCTGAATACAAATACACAACAGTTTTCTGATTTCTGGAAATACAAATCGTGTCTTTTCCCCCCCCCATCTCTTCATACTTAATTAGTACTTTGTATTTTGTATATCAGATAAAATCCAAATCAAATACACTCCAGTTTCTTTGCATGGCCGCAAGAACTTGGTGAGCAATTTCATGTTTCACATAGTACTTTTTATTAAACCCAGTGGATCAAGTTAATTTAGCAAATATAGGTTTTTAAACAAAGCAGTTCAACAGTGATTCAACAAAAAGTATTTTCTCAATTTTTAAAAAAAGCAGTGATTAAGTTAAACAGATCAAACCTGAGTAGAACGTCCCTGAATTTCATGTAACTCTTTAGTCGTCGTCATGATGTTGTAATCGGAAGCTAATGTTTGCAGTGGTTAGCAGTTGAGCTCTTATTGGTACAATTCCTCTGTCCTCTGGTCTTTGGCTAAATGTTGATCTTCAAAATATGCTTCTGGATAATATCACTTGAATGCTGACATTGTTTCTGATCATTAATATTGAACAGTAATTTTTATCCCGGACATTTGTAATGCATTGATGCTCTTCAAGTTTCCCAGGTAGTTGCCCTCTGTCTCTCTTCCTCTCTCTGCTGCTCACATGTCACTCCTCCACTCGGGGTCCAGTTGCTGTTGAACAACACTCTCAGTAGTCTCAACTGAGAGTGACATTACTGGGATGGAGAAACATTCAGAAGCAATGTTTAAATAATAACACAGCTCCTTATTTAATTTAATTTAAAAAGACAGATGAAACGTGTTTTACTTTCAGCCTCGATGCTGATGTAGAGCTCAGACAGTTTGGCCACGATCATCTCGTCTTCCTCAGCATGCGAGAAACCGCTGTAGCCTCCCTCTTCTTTGCAGTACTCGATGAAGCTGCGGAGAAGAGACAGGAAAAAAAAGAAAGCTAAATTAATTTTATTCAATATAATCTATGATTTAGCTTCTGTAATGTGAGACCGAGAGACGTACCTGGCCCAGTTAGGGTCTGCGCTCAACATTAGGGGGTTTCCCACCACGATCAGCAGAGCTTTGGCTCGAGTCACGGCCACGTTGAACCTCTGGACAAACAAAGAGTCAGGACGACGTGTGGACATTTGAGGCGAGCGCGCCTCGTGTGTGTGTGTGTGTGTGTGTGTGTGTTAGTTACCTTCTCATTCTTGATGAAGCCCAGGTTGAACTTTTTGTCAAAGTCCATGTAGTTGGCGCTGCTTCTAACGGCGGAAACCAGGATTACTCTCCTCTCCTGGCCTTGGAACTCCTCCACTGAACCAACCTGACACACACACACACACACACAATTTAAACTAACAGCAATCCAGCATCACTGACTGGATCGATAGCTGCTTTGAATAGAAATTATTCTCTTATGTGCTTTTGTAGCCGCTCTGCATCAAAAGCAGCCAGTTAAGGTGGCTCTGGCGTCCGGTCAGGATGCCTCCTGGAACTTTACCCCCCCTTTTATAAACTCAGTACTGTAAACTTTTAAAGCTCCTGTTCCCCCATAATCTCCTCACATCGTAGAGGGTAAAATTGTTACCTTCAGATTGCTCATGTCTTTACATTTTAAGTCCTTCCCAACTTTATCCAAGGCTTGTCGGATTTTCTGAACCTGTGTTATACAAAGAAATAAAACAGCAGTACGATTCAGTGTTTACAACGCCGGACAGGCGTTCATTTTAGAACGGCCATTTATGTTCTAGAAATCAAGCGGTCATCATCGATTGTCTTTGGAAACAATTCACACCTGCTTCCTGTAGGGGGCGATGATGCCTATGTCTTTGGGAGCAATTTTAGCCACTCCTTTCTTCCCTTGCGACTGCAGGAGTTTTCTCACGTAGTCCATTAACACCTCCACTTCTGCAACATTGAAGAACGAAGGGCTGGTGGATTCACGAGCATCAAGACCAGCAACCCCATGAAAAATCACTGGGAAGCCCTGAAAGATACACAGAAGAACATTGTCAAAATAACCTGAATCCCTGCTGGAAACCAAGATTACAGAAAGCTCAGTTTCCACATAGCTTCTAAATGAAAACACTTCAGTCAGTGAAATACAGTATTTTGGTAGGAAGGAACTTTCTATTTTACCACAAATGTTTGATTCATAAGTCCATCTGCATCAATCCAAGCAAAACAAACCTTTTATTATATTCTTTTAGAGCTAGTTTTCATCTTGATGGAGGTAGTTTGAATCTAACTTAGTCTGTAAAGTGCAAGGAGGACACGTAATCGAAATACTACTTCTGATGACAGTATCAATATTCATGTCTTTTTTTTTTATCTCACATTTTCTATCTTCTCTTATGAGGGAGAGGTGAGCTTTAGCATCAGCTGTGTCCATAAACGGTAGTGATAGAGATTTTTGGTAGTATCATTT